TACAATTCATGGCCGGTGCTGTGGCTCAATAGGCTAATCCTCCGCCTGCGGCGCCGGCACACTGGGTTCTAGTCCCAGTCGGCGCTCCAGATTCTGTCCCAGTTGCCCCTCCTCTAGTCCAGCTCTCTGCTATGGCCCAGGAGTGCAGTGGAGGATGGCCCAAGCGCTTGGGCCCTGCACCAGCATGGGAGACCAGGAGAAGCACCTGGCTCCTGCCTTCAGATCAGCACAGTGCGCCGGCCGCAGCAGTCATTGGGGGGTGAACCAACGGTAAAGGAAGACCTTTCTCTCTGTCTCTTTCTCTCACTGTCCACTCTGTCTGTCAAAAAAAAAAAAAAAAAGATACAATTCAAACTTCATCTTAATGGATTTTTTTTTCTAAGATTTATTTATTTGAAAGGCAGAGTTACAGAGAGGGAGATGCAGAGAGAGAAAAAGATCTTCCATCCACTGGTTCACTCTCCAAATGGCCACAACGGCTGGAGCTGGGCCAATCTGAAGCCAGGAGCTAGGAGCTGCTTCTGGGTCTCCCTCACGGATGCAGGAGCCCAAGCACTTGGGCCATCTTCTGCTGCTTTCCCAGGCCATAACAGAGAAGTGGATCAGAAGTGAAACAGCTGGGACTTGAACTGGCACCCATATGGGATGCCACTATGCCACAGTGCCTGCCCCTTAGTGGATTATTTTAATATGAATTTTTTCAGATTAAAACAATCAGATAGTAACTTAATGGGGGCCAGCATTATGGCATAGCAGATAAAGCTGTCGCTTACAACACTGGCATCCCATATCAGAGCTCCAGTTCAAGTCCTAGCTGCTTCACTTCTGATCCAGCTCCCTGTTAAAGATCTGGGTAAAGCAGCAGAAGATAGCCCAAGTATTTAGATGCTATAACCCACATGGAGGACCCAGATGAAGCTCCTGGCTCTTGGCTTCAGCCTGGCCCAACGCTGGCCATCTGGAGAATGAGCCAGCACATGGAAGATGTCATGTTCTTCCTCTCCCTTTCTCTCTGTAAGTCTGACTTTCAAATTAAAACAAAAAAAAATCTTTAGAAAATGATAATAACTCATATGAGTGCTGATTTAACATACATGATTTAACAAAATTTAAATGCTGAATCTCTAGTAAATTTTTATAGAGGATCCACTCTTTGTCCAGCTTTCATAAGATTCTCTAGATAATTTTTCAGAAGTAAACAGTGGTGTGAAGTCATAAGCAGCTTTGGACATGTTACAGTAATGACAGTGAGAACCACAATTGATAGCACTTACCATGTGCTAGGTACTCTGCATGACATCGTAGATGAGAATCCCACTTAGGTCTCCTAAAGCCTTAAAATGTATGTAGAATAGTTATCTTTTATCAGATGAGAACAGTGAAAAATAGGTTAAGAAACCTGCCTAAAGCCACACAGAAAGTGTGGCAAGCTGGAATTTTAAACCAGGCTATCTGAGCCCAAGACACACAGTCTTAACTGCTTAGTGCTACTTCTTAAAATTCAGAAGAAATTTCCTTTGGAATCAAACTGTAACTGTCATTATTATTTTATTCCATAAAAGCCTGGAAATGTGTCTAGACAGTAAACTATACACTTACAACCAAACTGTAATGACTAATGAGCTGACGTAGACACAGAAGGAATCGGTAGCATAAGGATATTTTACTTCTACTTTTGGCAGTGGCCATTGCCTTGAAAAAAAGATTTTCAAACCTATCAAAGCCAAATAATCCTCTTGGCAAGTGGAATATCACCCAGCACTTAAATTTCTAAAACAGAGAGGAGTAGACCGTTCTGCTTAAACTTGGAAAGGAAAAACCACACTCTCCTTCCTCCATCCCCCAAAATAGATGTTGAGACATCTGAAAAAGACTCTGGATTCCAAGAACGCCTGAAAACCACTGAAGTAGACAGAAGAATTGATGAAGGTCCAGTAGATCTAATTTTACAGAAATGATTGGACAAATTTTATGACAGTCTTGTAGATAAAATAGATAAATAGGAGTTGAAAGACAGTACAGTTACATACAATGATAGATCTGTCCATCTAATGGAAGGTTTTTAGTGCTATGTCAGAGGACTTTGTATCAAGTCCTATAGTGTCCACCAGCAAGGCTACCTCTTCTTCTTTTTTTAAAAAAAATGATTTATTTATTTATTTGAAAGAGTTACACAGAGAGAGAAGGAGAGGCAGAGAGAGAGAGAGAGAGAGAGAGAGAGAGAGAGAGAGAGAGATCGAGAGATCTTCCATCAGCTGGTTCACTAGCCAGTTAGCCACAACAGCTAGAGATGTGCCGATCCAAAGCCAGGAGCCAGGAGCTCCCTCCAGTTCTCCCACAAGCACTTGGGCCATATTCTACTACTGCCTTCCCAGGCCACAACAGCGAGCTGGATCAGAAGTGGAGCAGCCAGGACTTGAACCGGTGCCCATATGAGATGCCAGCACTGCAAGCAGCAGCTTTACCCGCTATACCACAGTGCCAGCCCTAGGGCCACCTCTTCTAAAGAAGATGGGAGTTTAAAGAGCAACTGAACCAGTATTTGCAATATATTCTAATATTTTTCTTATCCATGTATACATTTTACAATTAATGGGATCATTCTTACACAGTTTATCTTAGCTATTCTTTCTTGCCTAATAAATCAGGAAGCGCCTTCCATATCAATAGTATTTAACAACTGTTCCATTTATTCATAAACAGATCATGAAAATACTAGAACTGGGGCCAGAGTTCTCGTGTAGCTGGTAAAGCCATTGCCAGCAATGCTGGCATCCCATATAGGTGCCAGTTCGCTCTCAGCTGTTCCACTTCCAATCCAGCTGCCTGCTAATGTGCTTGGGAAAGCAGCAGAAGATAGCACAAGTAACTGGGCTCCTGCTTCACACCTGGAAGACCCAGAAGAAGTCCCTGGCTCCTGGCTTCAGCCTGGCCCAGCCTTGGCTGTTGCATCCATTTGGGGGGTGAACCAGCAGATGGTAGTCTATCTTTCTCTCCTTCTCTCTCTCTCTCTCTCTCTCTCTCTGTAACTCTGCCTTTCAAATAAATAAAGAAAATGCTGGGACTGAAAATTGCTACACAAAGAATTATATTAGGGTGCTATGATTGAGTTTCTGAGACTATCTTTAATTGGATGGTCAGAGAAGTCCTCACAGAAGAGGCAATATTTAAGTTCAGATTAAAACAATGAGAACCAGCCATGAGAATATTGACATAAGAGCATTCTAGGGGCCCACAACACTGGCATCCCATAAGGAGTACCAGTTTGAATCCCTGTTGCTCTAATTCTAATCCAGCCCCCTGGTAATGCGCTCAGGAAGGCAGCAGATGATAGCCCAAGTGCTTGGGCCTCTGCCACACATGTAGGAGACCCAGTTGGAGTTCCTAGTCCCTGGTTGCAGCCCAGCCCAGTCCTGGCTACTGCAGCCAGTTAGAGATGAACCAGTGAATAGAGTATCTCTGCCTCTCACTGTCTCTGACATTCTGCCTTTCAAATACATAAATCTTAGAAAAGAGAGAGGGAGAGAATTCCAGATGGATGCAAAGCTAGTGAGTGCAAAGGCTTAGCCACACTCAAAACACCAAGAGCTCAGGATGGCTGAGTACAGTGGGTAACTGAGGTAAGACTGCAAAGACTAAGAAGGCCCCGATTCCCCAACAGAAATAAAATGAGTTTGGGCATCTGTTGCAAGTGAAGGAACACCAGAAGAGATTACTTTACATAAAATTGTATGTGTATGTGTACTTCGCTGGTTATAAATTATATACAACCAAAAAAGCTCCCCAACTTTAATTTGACTCATCCTAATAAATGTATATGGTCATCACCACAGTAATCATCTGGAAGTGTCTTCATTACTCCAGGAAGTTTCTTTCTGCCTCTCTGTGGCCATCCTCTCTCCCCTAACAACCTCTGGTCTACTGTCACTACAACATTTTTCTAGGATGTCATTTCAATGAACTCAGTCGAGGTGGCTATGTAATTTGCAGGCCTGGTAGAAAATTGATTGAAGGTAGAGTCCCTCATCCAAAAATTATTAAGAATGTTAAGGCAGCGAAATCCAAGCATGAAAGAGGGCTCATAGCCTTTCTCAGTGTGAGGCACTAGATGACTACTGCACAGGCTGTCTGCTCATGAAGCCAGCCCTACTCGCGCAATGTAGGTTTATCATGTCTGGCTTCCTTCACTTAGCATGAGGATTCATCCATGCTGTTGTGTGTGCTGTTGTTTGTCCTGCTTTATTGATGAGTAATGTTTCATTGTATGAATGAATGCCCCACAATTGATCTGTCTATGTATGGACATTTACAGTTTCCAGACTGGAGATGTTATAAATAAAACTGTAATGAACATTCAAATACAAATCTTCATATGATGTCTTTTGAAGGGAAGTTTTTAGTTTTGATTAAGTCCAATTTATTTATATTTTTCTCTTGTATTTTACACTCTTTGTGTCTTATCTAAGAAACCTTTACTTAAGGTAACAGATTTTCTCCCATGTTTTCTTTCAAAAATTTCATAATTTTAGCTTTTACATTTAAATCCTTGCTCTATTTTGTAATGCAAAGTGTGATTCAACTTTATTTATTTATTTATTTTGCATGTATATCCACTTGTTCCAGCTCTATTTGTTTAAATAGCTGTCCTAGGGTAGGCAGTTGGCCTGTTGGTTAGGATGCCATTTGGGATATCCATATCCTATATCAGAAGGTCTGGGTTTGAGTCCCAGCTCTACTCCTTATTCCAGCTTCCTTCTAATGTATACCCTGGGAGGCAACAGGAAGTGGCTCAGGTAATTATGTCCCTGCTACCCATGTAAAAGGCCTGAACTGAGTTCCTAACATCCTGGCTTCAGCCAGGCCCAGCCCAGACTATTGCAGGCATTTGGGGTATGAACCAGTGTGTGGGAATGCACTCTCTCTCTCTCTCCTTCCCCCTTCTCAAATAAGTAAATTTTTTTAAGGCCATTCTTTTTCTACTGATTTGCCTGTACACTTAGGCGCAGGTCTGTGATGACCAAAGGACTTCAACAAAAGGAATGACAGGATCCTTTAACAAGATTATGCAGCTCATATGGGGAAATGGATTATAATGAAGCAAAAGAAAAAGATCAGAAGATTATATGCAGGTGAGAAGTGATGGAAGTTTGGACTGTTCTAAAGCAGAGAATGATGAGATCTCAGTGTAGTTTTAATTGGCACTTCCCTAATGGCTAAAGCCTCTGAGCGTTTGTCCCATGTTGGTTTGCTATGTATTTGTCATCTTTGATGAAGGATCTGTTCAAACCCTTTGCTCTTCTCATTCCGCCCCAACCCTTTTTCTTAACATTTATATCAAATACGACTTGACATTCTAAGCAAAGAAGTGACAAGATCTTAGTGTGGTTGTGTAGTTTTAATTGGCATATCCTGAATGTCCAATGATGCTGAGCTTATGAATGTGCTTATTTTTTTATTCATTTTATATCTTTGATGAAGTGCCTATTAAAACTGTGTCCTTTTTTATAACATTTAGTTCTGTGATTTACTTACTGGAGGGTTTTAAGCAGAGGAACAACAAGATCTTGCAACAAGACTGTGCAGCTGTTATAAGGATAATAGGTTATAATGAAGCAAAAGTATGATCAGGTCAGTTGGGAGATTATAGTCCAAGTGAGAAATAATACAGTGGGGGTAGGAAAGATGAAGAGAAATGGACAGGTTTAGAATATGTTCTTGAAGTTGATAAAAGCTGCTAGTAGATTAGATGTGGGAGATGAGGAAAAAACAGGAATGTAGGGTAATTCTTTTTTTTAATATTTATTTATTTGAAAGTCAGAGTTACAGAGAGAGAAAGGGAGACAGAGAGATCTTCCATCTGCTGTTCATTCCCCAGATGGCCACAGTGTCCCCACCCCCACCCCCAAGCCAGGAGCCAGGAGCTTCATCCAGGTCTCCCATGGTGGCAGAGGCCCAAGTACCTGGGTCATCCTCTGCTTCTTTGCCCAGGCCATTAGCAGAGAGCTGAATCAAAAGTGGAGCAGCCAGGACTCAAACTAGTGCCTAGTGTTTATTGTGGATGAAGAACTAATGTGTACCCTGGGAGGGAGTGGTAATGGCACAAACACTTAGGTCCCTGCTACTCATGTAGGAGACCTGGACTGAGTTCTGGCGCCTCAGCTTTGGCCTGGCCCAACCCTGGCTGTTGTGGCATTTGGGGAGTGAACCAGTATCTGTCTCTTTCTTCTCATCAAATAAATATAAAATAAAAAAGCCTCAGTTATTTTTTTTAAAAACTTTATTGGAAAGATTCAATTGCTTAAAATGAAAAAAGTCCCACTTCTCTAGACCAGCTGATCCTACTATGCAAGTTTTGCAATGTATGCAGATCATAAATCAAATTACACAGAGAACAGACCTGAGACACAGATCTGTGCATAAGAGGTTTGTCAAGGTGTGCTCTCTTATAAAGGAATGAAGGAAGTACAATTAAGTAGAGGGAAATGTTGGAACTATGAAGCAGTAACAGCAGAGATTTCAATCAATTTTTTATATATAGATTTTAAGGACAGAGTGACGGAGAGACAGAGAGAGAGGGAGAGAAAATCTTCCATCTGCTGGGTCACTCCCCAAATGTCCACAGTAGCTATAGTTGCACCAGACCAAATCCAGGAGCCAGGAACTCCAACTAGGTCTCCTATGTGGATGACAGGGATCCAAGCACTTGGGCCATCATCTGCTGCCACCCAGGCACATTAGCAGCAGCAAGAAGCAGAGTAGCCAGGATTCAAATTGGCACTCCAATATGATATACCAGCATTTAAAGCAGCTGCTTAACACCCTGCACCCCAACACCCCCCGCCATCAATTCTTAATGTCCCAAATTGAGGCAAAGGGGTAGCTTTGTCAAATCATTATATTCTGGCTGTCAGGGAGGTAATATAAATGTGAATGAAGCGGCACCCTTTGCTCATGAGCAGTTCCTGGAGAGGTATTCAACCATAAGCCATCCCCAGAGCATGATGCATCAGCTGGGGGAATGAATGCCTCCGTTCTGAAAGGCGTTCTGGGGGGCACACCACAGCATCAACAGAACTTCTTTGCATTTGCTCAGGCTCTTTATTTTGTCAGGGGCTAACATTTTTCACCATCTCCAAATCCTACCCATCCATTAAGCCATGATGAAATACTGTATCACCCATTAAGCATTCCCTAATTCTTGTCATTATAAATAATAGTTTTGCCTCTAAATTTCAAATACTTTATATTGATATTCTTCTAGCACTGTAGAATTCATCTTCTACTTTCCATTAGAGCTATTTTTCACTTTAATAAATGGACAATTTTCAAATGACTCAGGCAATAAGCTAGGACTTGAGTGTATAAAATAAACAAAAGAGATATGGTCATTACCATGCTTTAAATAATTTGCAATGAAAGAATTAACCATAGTAAAAAAAAAAAAAAAAAAAGCATGTAGGATGGGGCTTTAACTCAAATGAGAGTATCAGGGAATTACTCTCTTGAGAAGTGATATTAGACTTAGACCAAGGGGAGAGAATTTGGCATAGAGGTTAAGACACTGCTTGGAATACCCACATCCCATATCAGAGACCTGGTTTAAGACACACACTGCTTCTAATTCCAGCTTCTTGCTAATATGGAAAGCTAATCTGGAAAGCAGCAGATAAAAGTTTAAGTACTTGGGCCCCTGCTACCCATGGGGTAGTCCTAGATTGAGTTCCTGGCTCCCAGCCTTGGCCTGGCCAAGCTTTGGCTCTTGTAGATATTTGTAGAATGAACCAGCAGATGGAAAGATGGAAGCTTGTGCTCACTTACTCTCTCTCTCTCTCTCTCTCTCTCTCTAATAAAATGAAAATTCTAAAAATGTTAAACTTAAAAAAGTAGTTCAATGAAGGAAGGGAGGTAGTGAGAATAAGGAGTGGGATATATTTAAGTAAGAGCAGCAAGTACTAAAGTTGACATTTATTCAACAAACATATACTGATTGCTTCATGTGTGCCACGTATCATCTGAAGTGTTCCAGCTTCATCACTAAACAAAAACAGAAGAAAAAAATCTTTCCTGCATGGAGCTTCAATTCTAGGAAATGAAAAAAACCCACTATAACTGAAGTTTAGAAGACAAGAGACCTTGCTGCAAGATGGGCTCAAGAGGTAAGCAGAGGCCAGGCCACTACAGGCCTGGTAAGGACTGGAGTTATAATATATATATATATATATATATATATACACACACACATATATATATATAAATCAATTTAGTATATATTAAGTAAAGATTTCAACAGTTTGCACCCACACAGACACACAAAGTATAAAGTACTGTTTGAGTACTAGTTATAGCATTAATTCACATTGTACAACACATTAAGGACAGAGATCCTACATGGGGAGTAAGTGCACAGTGACTCCTGTTGTTGACTTAACAATTAACACTCTTGTTTATGGTGTCAGTAATCACCTGAGGCTCTTGTCATGAGTTGCCAAGGCAATGGAAGCCTTTTGAGTTCACCAACTCCAATCTTATTTAGACAAGGTCATAGTCAAAGTAGAAGTTCTCTCCTCCCTTCAGAGAAAGGTACCTCCTTCTTTGATGGCCCGTTCTTTCTGCTGGGATCTCACTCGCAGAGATCTTTCATTTAGGTTTTTGTTTTGTTTTGTTTTTTGCCAGAGTGTCATGGCTTTCCATGCCTAAAATACTCTCATGGGCTCGTCAGCCAGATCCTAATGCCTTAAGGGCTGATTCTGAGGCCAGAGTGCTTGGAGTTTTAATACCACAGGACCTGATCAGATTGTTTCTTAAACAGTTGCTCTGGCTGTGTTATACATATTACGTCTCCCTTTCTATTTCAAAAGTTTTTAGAAGACTGCTCTGTAACTACTGAAACTTCCAGCACATAAAACTCCTAGTAAGTAATAACTATGGCTAATACTTGAGCACTTCTCTGTTTGCTAGAGTCTTTTCTAAGCCCTCTGGTGTATCAACTCACTAATCCTCACAACCCATCATCTCTGGTTGGCTGGATGAATGAGAGAAAATGTATGCTTATTTGGAGAGTAGAAACCTGGATACACCTGAGAGTCTACAGATATTCTATGTGTACAGTAGGAGGAGAAGGAGGGAGCTGCAGATGAGAAAAAAAAAATTCCAAATGCCACCTATGCAGGTCTACTTGCCTTTGCATCATACTCAAACCAACTTATTTTAGAACATTCCCAATGAGCTACAAAACTAAAAAGTACATGCACTTGAGAACTGTGTGGTCCAATAGCTAAAAAAGGTGAATGCACACATTTGTACATCTCTTATCCGATCTATGATGATAATTATTCAAGTGCATGTCTGAAGAACATGATGAGCTGCTTTTGCAAAGTTCTTGTGCTTTCTGTACTTTTTAATACAAATCACAACAATCTTTTACAGCATCAACAACACCCCTTCTGGAAAAACAAAAGTAAAATCCTAGGAATTTGTTATCTGGGATCTGCAAAGAGACCTGCCCGATTAGGAATCCCTCATTCCAACCCCCTGCAGCTCCCTGACATTGCAGGGTTCACCTGTGGCTTGAAAGTGGCTGTGCTAGATGCTAGATGTATAATTACACTGACAAAGGTCATTGAGGACAATCACTGATGGAACCTGACAAGTATAGCCATTGCTCCAAAGGAGAAACACCACTGGGCCATGGTCCCTTAGAAGATGAGGAATGGCAGATAAAGGGCTAAAGGGCGGGGAGGCTGATAAGATGCTGATCACTGTTAGTATGGAGGGTCCCTGACTAGAATTCCATTTTAACACACAACAGTGTGAAACAGCTCAACAGTCCTTATCTTCAAGCACTCCCAGTCAGGGCCTAGATTAAGTATAGGTTTATCAGTAGGTGTACCCATAATGAAAAACATGTAAATAACAATCAAAGCCATCCCCTCCATTACAACCCTATTTCTGTGCACTGATTTCCCTGGACTAGATCCCTACTTTATCTCTGAAGTGTTTTCTTCCATCTCAGCCAATAGTTATGGCCCCTGGCTGGGCCTTAGACCCTACCCCTACCCCTTCCCCGAACCCAGTGCTGGGGGTGGGCCAAATTGATTTGAGTAGCAATG